TACCTTTTAGCTAAGACAAACTAGGCCATTTTGCACAGCCACCAGGGTAGCACTTTACAAACAATTATCGCTTTTGATGCTATCAGTTAGGTCAGTAGGAACTACTACTTTTAAAAAGCTACTGCAACCCAAAAAGAAAAAAAGTTCACACCAACACTGTGGTGTGAACTTCGATTCCCCCTCCCTCTCCCATGGCCTTCTCCCTTTTAGCTAAGACAAACTAGGCCATTTTGCACAGCCACCAGGGTAGCACTTTACAAACAATTATCGCTTTTGATGCTATCAGTTAGGTCAGTAGGAACTACTACTTTTAAAAAGCTACTGCAACCCAAAAAGAAAAAAAGTTCACACCAACACTGTGGTGTGAACTTCGATTCCCCCTCCCTCTCCCATGGCCTTCTCTATCATTAAGTAGCTGAGCTTATGAAGTGTTCTTGGTAGTTAGTGCTCCAGAAGTTTTTCATGTAAAATCAAGTTTAAAAGCTATAAATATGGCCACACCCTGAAGACCTTTTCTCCCAGGCAGAGCTGTGTTTGTGTTCTTACAGGTACAGATTTTAAACCATAACCTATTTACATCATGAACAAGCTCAGTTAAGTGAAGGAGACTTGGAGTTAGAATAACCTAACTAGCCAGTTTGATTTTAATACATACTTGTATGCATTCAACTCTAGGGATGTTAAAATGGAGGTTGTTTTAGTAATCGAGTAGTCAATAATTTTATTGACTATTCAACTGAGGAAGGCAGCCCTGCTCAGTACCAGCTCACACTGGGACCAAACCCTGCTGCAGTTCTACAATTTAAAAGACAGTAGGAGCCAGGCAGCCTGCCTCCTACTGTGTTTTAAATAGCAGAGCTATAGCAGGGTTTGGTCCCCAATGCAGCACGAGCAGGGCTGCCTGCCCAGCTGGTAGCATCTCCAATCCATAGCACTTGGCTGCAGACAAGGGCTGCTTAGAGGGTAGCAACCCCTGTCCAGAGAGGGAGGGTCCCCCAACTTCACTGAGACCCCCTCCCCCCAGGGCCAGGTGCTGTTGCCAGAGCAGTCTCCCCTGCACTCCCTCTGCAGGGAGTAGAGACTGCTGGGGAAACCAGCTTTTAAGCCAGTTCTCCTCAGCATCAGCTACTTCCTTCCTCCCTTTGCTGCCTCTGATATAGGCAGTAAAGGCAGGAGGGGGAAATGCGAGCAGTCAACTTATTGAGGAGTCAATTAATCGACTAGTCTTACATCCCTATTCAAGTCAAACTGGATATTAATTTAGATTATTGGATTTTATAAAGCCGCCAAGATTTTTGGTTTTGAGATTACTGGAAGGATCAAATAACTTAGTTTGGAATTCTCACATACACACCCTTTCCATGAAGACTCAAGTTAGTACAGGCAGTCCCCAGGTTATGTACAAGATAGGGACTGTAGGTTTGTTCTTAAGTTGAATTTGTATGTAAGTCAGAACTGGTACATATTGTACAGGAAAAACTAGCCAAACATTCCTCCAGAGCTCAGTTTTATTCTCCCACACCTCACTTCCCTCAGTCCTTTATTCTCAAGCTGAGGTGTCTGCTGAGAAAAGCTGCTCCGCGTCGCCCTGGTCTGCTGGGGGGGCGGGGCGCCGCCCGCCTCTCCCTGGTTTGCTGGGGGGGGTAGTGCAGGATTGCCTCACCCCATTTGTAAGTAGGGATCCAATGTAAGTTGGATCCATGTAACCCGCGGACTGGACTGCCTGTATTACTAGGCTTTGGAGTAAAAAACAACAACAAAAAACCCCACCTATCCAAATGCTAATTACTGCTACTTCATCATGTAATTGAGCTTGCTGATTGGTGAAGTGCTGGATACAGGCGCTTTTACTGTAATGGGTTTAATCTGCAGAAAGGAAGTTATAGTTAGAAAGCTTTTCCAAATATAAGGATAGTTAAACTCTGGGTTAGGTTTCCAAGGGAGAGTGGAGAATCCCAGGCATTGGAGCTTAAATAACCATTTGGACAAGATTCCTGTCAGAAGTCATATGGTATATTTGATCCTGTCTCTGCAAGGGAGGCTGGAGTTCACCTCTCATGATCTCTTTTCAGGCCTACATTTCTACAATAAAACAAGTCACTGCTTTTCCACAGTGAATGGGGAAAAATTAAATTATTTAAGAGGAGTGCTAGTAAAGAGAGGCTTTAAACAGATTCAGTTAATGAAAATCCTCCAGTTGAGTGTAACAGAGTGGAATACATAAAATAAGGTCATCTCTGGAAAGCAAAGGAATACTAGAGAAGGTTCTCTCATGGTTCTAGGTTTGTACATTACACAATCACAACACTTTCTCCCCAAATCATGAATATCTAAAGTTGCAACTAGTGACATTCTTGCACCTTCTATAGCTGTGCTTCTCATGTGCAAACTACTGCAGTGTGTTGGTTGCTATGGGAAACTGCCAATAAGCTCAGTGAGAGGAAAAGATGCATTAATACCAGGAAAAAGAACCAGTATTTATTTAGATTCACGGGCTTCTGTAAAGTAAGGACTGATTTAGCTGCTTGGAATTCTAAGAGCGACATCCCAGTGTCAACAGATGCTGTTAAGCTTAGTTTGTATCCACACACTGGGAAACAGTGATATTAGATTACTTGTATAATTAATTGTTTATTAAACAGTGAAATGATGGCTTAATATGGAGTTCTTGTATGGCTGAGGGAAAGTGTCTGTACAGTCTTACACTTATGAAAGATTCAAACCACATAGTTTAAAGAAGGCATTCCACTGAAAATTGGTGTCATCGCTTCAGATCTGACAAACTAGAGCTAGTTTTCAGTATCCTACACATGTAAACACTCAAGAGTTCAATGACCAGTCAAGTGCTGATGTAGCTGTGTTTTTCCTCATTAAAAAAAATTTTAGATTGAGTATGTACCAGATTATTTTGATGAAGGCTATGGTTTTCATGTGCAGATAGTGCACACACAGAATAGACCCTGATTAGACCTTTCAAAAGCTACTATAATAAAATCTTGCACCTCTTGTTTTCCAAAGTTTTCTAAATTCATAGAAAGCTCATCCACATAATTTAAGTGTTTGCAGATTAAGCTGTAGCCTTTATCAAAACCAAGTGGTATGTATTCAATCTCCAATGATAACTGTTGTTCAAATCCGAAAGGTATGATTTTATTTTATAAACACACAACGACAACCATTCCACCCCATGCAAGAAAGCTGGAATATTTTAAGTTGGTCAGTTTAATTATCTTTTCTTTAACTTAAATATAAGTTGTCAATATAAGACCAAACCAGCCATTTTAACCAGATTTAAGTTTGATTACTTCAGCTTTGGACATTTTAAAACTTGTCTGTTACTAGAACAAAAACATGCTATATCCAATTCTGTTGTCCATAAGTTTTCAAAACTATGAAACCAAACATGAGAAAGAAGAATTCTGCTCACTCATAACTCAGTTACTGTAAAATTATTTGTTT